AAGTTGAAAATGTCTATTATTCCCCCTAATAATCAAATTTGTTTTTTACAAAATTATCTTCCCATCGTCATCACCAATCACTATGAATAAATTGATTTATGCATCTTCCTCTATTTCCCCGTTACTTTTGATAACTAATATGTGAATAATTGAATTTAGTTTAGGAAGACATGAGTAAAAAGAATGAAAATACTATGAGAACATTTTAGGAGATTCATCCAACTAATGCTGACACTCAAACACAAGCACGACTGACGCCAAATCTCACTCGAAACATGACATAAAATTTAACAAGTCTTAAATGGTAACATATAAAAGCTCCAAGTACATCCAACTATTGAAAATATGATATGCAAAAATTCAAAAATTCCATGTTTCCGAATAAAAAAGTCGAAAAGATGTCTGATAAATAAAAGCATCGGACTCGAGAAAAATACGACAAATCAAATGAAATTCAAATCTAACAAAGCCAAACTCCATCAGACACATCATTCTTAACCAACAAACCTGTCATTTGAAAAATAACTATGATATCCTTAATTCAGTACTTGATTGGAGCAATAATATCAAGTTGAGCACCAAGCTTCTCTTCAGCAACTTTCTCAGCTTTGACTCTCAATTTCGCCAACTGCTTCTTTCTTTCATAAACTACCTGGGCTCTGTCTTTCCTCTTCTTCTCCAATTCCTACAGAGAACCAAACATGAACAAGGTAAGAAGAAATAGTAGCATCAAATTTTATCCGATGGAAAGGTGAATATGATTTAGAAGAATAAATAACAGAAAAAATGAGAACAAAAACGTTTAAAATATAATATACTACTCAAACAAAACAGGGTAACAAAAAACCAAAGGAAACCATTGCAAATTATTCGCATTTACTTTGTAACTAATTCAACAGTATTCAGGGTGTCCAAAAAGTTAGAAAAGTTGCAACATAATAGAAGCATAAAAATTGATTCTAATTAAGTCAAAGTAAAGACTCTAATAAATAGTGGCCCAACAGAAAGAATCATGTTTAGCACAGAAATAGTTACCCTGATGATATCATAGTTGTTCCATCCAACTTCAGAAGAGAGTCTGCCCAACAAACAGTACTTGTGACCAGCTTGAAGCCTCAAAACCCTGCTCATCAAAGAGAAAATGAATTACAATTTTGCACAAAAGATATCAAAATTCGAGAAATTGACATTCAGCCAACTCACTTGAGGGCATCCGGAATAACCATCCTCTTCTTCTTGTCATATGGTGGTGGTACACCCTCGTAAACCTTCAGACGCGCGAGTGCAGCTTCTCCACGTTTGGTCTTGTGAGGGATCATCCTGCGTACATGTCACAAGCCAATTGATATAATTCAACATCAAGATTCACTATTCCTTAATGAAAACCCACGGAGTGTGCCAATTTCAATTCATTTGCCAGAAGTTGCTAAATAAAATCACACAAGAACCAAGAATTTTTTAACTACAAGAAATAACAATTTTTATAGGTAAACTAATAAAAGAACTATAACACTACAGTTAAACAAGTCAAAAGAAACAGAAACAAAATCCTACAAAATTGACTTGGAAAACAGATTACCATACTAATGTGTGTAATATACAAGAAAAGATAGGACAAAAATAAATGTAAGCCAGACCTTAAATAAAAAACAAAGATATGGGGATTATTTTCATTATATGCAACCCCCAATCCAGTCAGTTCTTCTGGCCCATGTAAAATAAACTTAAAGATGCATAAAAGAAAATGGTTCTTAGCAACAATATGGAATCCATAATGCCAAACAACTGTACAGTGCAATGTGTAACTACTTAAAGATTCAGAAGAAAGTTGCCACGATGTAAAAACAAATCCGAAAAAATGCACCAAAACACAGAGCTACAGCAGTAGAATCCAGAAAACTCACAGAACGAATAGATAGAGGCCAAGAATACAGATCCAGTACACACCCAAATAAATACTAAACTAAGCAAGGAGCAAGGAATAATAAAGTAGCAGGCGGTCCAGGAGCTATCAAAGAACGGATATAAGAGGCCAGAAGCCTAATGTATATACATTTAGTAACCACTGTGCTCGTTTTAGGCAATGTGTCCGTCAAAAATGTCATCGAATTTGTCAACTGATGAGTGTAGATAATGTGCAGTACCACTATTGTCAAACAAACACATTCAAGATAAAGAAAATTAAGCTTCATATTGCTTTAAATTCAGAATTACAACTACATAGAACCGCCGCAAGGCATAAATAATATGAGGTAAACTATGGAGGGTAGAAATACACGATGAAAATATAAGAACAAAAAAAACAGCTCATACCCACGAATCGTCCTCCACAGAATCTTGGAAGGTGCGCGGAAGTGAATGGGGCCATGAGAAGGCTTGGTATTCATACGCTTGCGAAGGAAACGCAGGTACTTCATCTTCTGGCGCACGAGTCCGCCGGAGAGGCAGATTTCCTCGCAGCGAACAACGACTACCTTCTGGCCATTCAACAGCTCCTTGGCCAAGATGGAAGCGAGGCGGCCGAGCATGTGGTGCCTGGCGTCTACAACCACTCTCTTCGCGCAGATCCCTGAGCCCGACACCATTTTTTCTCTCTCTATCACACACACACTCAGTCTACCGGAGGCGGGGAAATGGATGGGCGAAGGTGAGGGGTTAGGGTTTTCGTTTGGTGGATTGTGAGGTATTTAAACATGGATAGGTTTTGAGGGTAGGGTTTTGGGTGCGCCTAGCATCATCTGGGCCAAAGCCCAATTTTTGGGTTGGAGGGCATTTTTGCTTCAGACAAAATTATCTGGGCCAAAGCCCACTTAATACGCAACACCCGCAAAACCCCACATCCTACTCGAAAAAATTTGAAAGAATGACCCGGTGCACGTCGCTAATAAATTTATTCTTTAAAGACGAGATAAGTTTTTTATTATCATTCTTAACTTTTACTTACCACTTGTACGAGCTCTCCAAAAGATAAAGATACATGAGTTTTATTTTCACCAACAGATTAACTTCCTCTCGACTTTAATTCTCCCCTTACAGAAGCAAATCCCCTTCTCTCCATCTGTCGTCGCGGCTTGCTCCCCTCCTCCGACTATGGGTTGGACCAGTGATGAGCGGCCTTCTCCTGCGGGCTCCGCTTTTCTGGCCGTGGGGTGATTCCCGACACCAGTGGAGGTCTGCATCTGAGGGCCATCGAAATCGCCGCCAACGTCGCCCTCTCTTCGAAATGGTCTCCCTCTCCGGTTTCCTTCTCCCGCCGTCTGCAACGTCCGCCGCCTCGAGGTGAGGGTTAGTGATTTAGGGTTTCACAAATTTTAATTTTTTTTTTTTCTTTTGAGGTTTCATTGATTGATCTAGATGTATGAGTTGTTGAATTTAAGATCTGAAAATTGAAGATAGAATTCCAGTAGCACCTTCGCATTAAGATAATTTCTGAAAGTAATCTCACATTTTTTTTATCGTCTCCCTACTCCCGTCACCGGCAACGTCTGCCGCCTCATAGTGTTACGCAAATTAATTCTTTCTTTGTTTATTGTGGATTTAAGATCTGATTTGAAAATAGAATTGGCCATGGTCTGTTCATGAACTCTTGTTGGATTTGAAAGGAGATTTGTTAGAGTTTATTTGATGTTTATCTTGAGTTAGTTTGATGTTTATCTTGAGTTAATTCAAGTCTGCCCATATATATGAGTTATGAAAATGCTTGCGCCCTCATTCAGATGGGATCCCATGAGTCGCCCAAGGAGAAGTGCAATCGACGCTTTTTGACTACTTGCACTGCACGCGTATTCGCCTCGATTTGTGGCGAAGCTGATTGCAAAGGTCGAGAAAACAGAAGCTTTTATTTGTTGTTATGTTGTATTTGTGGCGACGCTTTTATTTGTTGTTATGTTGTATTTTATATTTTAGAATTGCTCATTAATTTTGTGAGTGAATGTTTCGTTTTTGTGTGGATAAAAGTATTATTTTTATAACTATAATAAACTGAAAAATATATGATATATAAATTTTCCTGGTATAATATATTGAAAATAAACTATACATAAACTTAAAATTTACAGTTTGATTCTTGTAATTTTATAACTATAATAAACTAAAAATATACTATATATAAATTTTCCATGTATAATAAACTGAAAATAAACTATACATAAACTTAAAATTTACAGTTTGATTCTTGTAATTTTATAACTATAATAAACTAAAAATATACTATATATAAATTTTCGATGTATAATAAACTGAAAATAAACTATACATAAACTTAAATTTATAGTTTGTATTCTTGTAATTTTATAACTATAATAAACTAAAAATATACTATATATAAATTTCCATGTATAATAAACTGAAAATAAACTATACATAAACTTAAAGAATACAAACTAAAAATATACTATATATAAATTTCCATGTATAAATCAGTGCAATTCAGACTTTGGAAAATGAAAGTTGCTGGGAAATTAAAGCACTTTCTGAGGAAATGCTTGTCAGGAACTCTTCCTGTGGCAAGCTTGCTGAGAAGAAAAAGAATTGACATTGATCACATATGCCCGGTTTGTGGTGAAACTTCAGAAACAATCACTCATGTTCTTTTAAATTGCCCCAGAGCTTCAAAGGTATGGGACATTTCTCCTGTCAGGTGGCATGGAATTTCAGACATAGCAGACTGCTTTAAGGAATGGTGGTTCAAAATCTGCACCCTTGATCATTCTGAGGTCTCAGAGGCTAGAATCCAATTGTCTACCTATATCCTCTGGTGGCTTTGAAAATTGAGGAATCTTTGGGTATTCCAAGCATCACTCATGCCAGAAGTGAAGGTTATTCAACTAGCTCACTCAGATTGGACTCAATTCACCATGGCTGCTTCTCTTTGATTAGTTGTTTTTCATTTGTAGCTAGCTTGTTTCCTTCTTTCTCAAAGTGTTTACCCCGCTAGGCTTGTGCAATAGAGGGTAACTACACTTTGATTTATTTTTATTTTCTTTGGTTGGTGTTCCTCTTCTTGAGGTTTTAGACCACTGTTAAGTGTGTCTCCCAGTTTTCTTTTCCGATTTTGTTCTGTTGATCCTGATGTATTAGGATTTTATCCTCTTGAGTTATATGATAATTTCCCTATCGTTTTGGCGAAAAAAAAATAAATAAATAAACTGAAAATAAATTATACATAAACTTAAATTTACAGTTTGTATTCTTGTAATTTTATAACTATAATAAATTAAAAATATACTATATATAAATTTTCCTTGTATAATAAACTGAAAATAAATTGTATATATAAATTTAAATTTACAGCTTGTATTCTTGTAATGGCTCATAAATCTATAATAAACTTAAAATAGACTAAATATAGTTTATAGCAGAAAATTTATTTTATAAGATAAACTAATAGTAAATTAAAAATAAATTAGATATAAATTTATAGTAAAAAATTTGGTTTATAAACCCAACATTAGATAAAAATCCATACAAACAAAGACTAACAAAATTTTGCATCTTGTATTTACATGAGTGAAATATTAACACAATTTTACGGGAGTTTGTATTTATGCTTTCTGATTAAAAAAAATTCTTAATAAAATCAACAAATAATTTTTCCCAGGCCCCAAGAGATCCGTCTGTTTCTATTGGTAAGTTTTTTGTTTATTTGATTTGGCAAGATATGAGTTATATTGACTTGCGGAAGAATTGAATCACTTTGGTTAGTTGCCCTTTTTATTTTAATCATAGTTGCCTTTTTTATTTTAAGCATCGTATTAGGGGAAGAGAAAGAATTGACTGGGAGTAATTTGGTATTGAAATCTTCCATTCGTTATTTTTTTATTTCACAATCCAATTGTCGTATGAGTGTACTTAAGCCAAAAAATTTGAGGAATTTGCACCCCTTACTAAATCTTAGAAATTATATTACACATTTCCACCTCATTTATACTTATTTTTAAATTTAGCTAAAGAAGCAAAAAATTATCAAATCTACCTAAATCACACAGAAACTGTTCAAGTTTTCTCGGTTCTCTCTCCTCTCAATCAACTATCTCTTCTTCTCCTTCTCTCTCTTACTCTCTCTGTTTTTTCTTTTTTTTTTTCGTTCAAGAAGAAGACGAAGAGGCTGATCCAGATCCAAGCATGGCAGAGGCTACCGCCCGTTCGACGTCGTCGTCGTCTTCCACGTCATCGTCGTCTTCATCTTCCTCTTCTCCTTGATGCTCGTCTTCAGATGGGATTTGAGTCGACTGTGAAGCGCCCATTGATAAGGGAGAAAGTAGATGATGGTGGGTTGTTGCTTAAAAATTGGATCTTAAAAACCTATTTCACTAGAGGGAGCAAATTATTATGTTGTTACCAACTAATCGAATGGTGATTGAAACTGGGATTAGGCAAAAAGTTTTTGTATTGGAGAGTGGTAATGGTGAGATCTAGCGAAATAAGAAAAAAAAAACATATATGGAGTATATGTTCAGTATATTAGAAGTATATTAGAAGATTTTTTAATTTGTTCAGTATATTTTATGTGTACAAAGAGTATATGTTCAGTATATTACAAATTTTTTTAAAGAACATATATGGAGTATATGTTCAATATATTAGAAGTATATTAGAAGATTTTTTTAATCTGTTCAGTATATTTTGTGTGTACAAAGAGTATATGTTCAGTATATTACAAGATTTTTTTAATATGATTTTCATTCTATATACTTTAAGCAATTTTCTTTTTTTTTTAAGTAGAATACCGAAAATCGTGCGGGATTTGAGGATTGAGGGCCGCGGTTATGTAACTGCTTTTAGGTTTGTATGTAGTAAAGAATCATTATTTAGGTAGATTTGTAATTATTTATTTTTAATGGTATAATTATAATATCTTTTGTTTCGTGCAGGAGACATCAAAATTTCCCAAATAACAACAAACGAACTAGAGTCGTAACCCAATTAGACTATTATAGAGATGGCGAACAACAACTGGGTCATAGAAATTGAGGAAGAGGCGGCAGTGTCGTTGTGCAGAAGACCTCCGAGTCCGACCCGATTCATCCGAGGACCCGAACCGTTACCACGAAGGTTCTGAAGACTAAGGTTCACGTGTATAAGCAAGGGAAGGGCCCGAACGACATCATCAAAATGGCCTGGTCGGGTGGGACTAGGACCAGCTCGAGGTGCGCGAGATCCCTGACAAGAATGAATTTAAATCGATCTACGCATTCGCGCCCGAATCGGGTCGTGGCGTGCCGATCCGGTTTCAACCCGAGGAATGGATGGTCGCTGCTCACTTACAGGGACAATGTCGTTATGTTGATGGCGAGCCCAATGTAAAATTCAAAACAGTATTGATACTTTGTGCTTGTTTTGTTGCATTATTTTTTTTTTCCAAACGATAGAATTCATTATAAAAAGAACCCGGACAAAGTCCGAACCAATATACAAAGATCATGGGAGACTCACTCAACGAGTGATCTAGAAATAAGCCACAATACAAGGAGAAGCGAGGATGCATCCACTGAAGACTGTCCCTTGCCCAAACCACCTAGCTACTGAAACTAACACCCAACACTCAAACAGCAAAAACAGAAAGAAGCACAGAACATCTAAAAAAAAATTGAAATAAAAATGACAAAAGACAGCAGACACACAAGCTATCTCTGCAGATTGGGAAAGTCTTGTCATTCCCTCCAAGCCCCTCTCACTACCACCTTTTTTTCTAGCATCCGCACCTTCTAAAAAAGCCACAGATTTCGAGATCGCCAAAGCCACCATAATATGTATGTGGATAACTGTATTCTGGCTTCAGTAATATCAGAGGTATCCAATCCACACACCTGCACCACCACAATTTAAAAGAATGATTCTGCATAAGTTGTTCCCTTCATTCAATGGGAGCTAATTTCCAAACCTTCTCGGCTCTGCAGCAGGTGAGTAGGAGATGTTCAATGGATTCTGGTTGTTCTCCACACATATGGCATATCTGCTTGTATTCCCCTTCTGATGACATTGGTGCTCACTGGTAATGAACTTATGTAGCATTTCTATAGGAAATGTTTAACATTCCCTTTTGCTTTCATTTTCCAGGTTCTGCTTCTAGCTTACCTATCAATCAAAGCAGATTGGCTGCTTTCTGCTTTATCCAGTTGAAGAAGTTTAGGAACCATAAGATGCTTATAAGAACTAGCAACTGAAAATCTGTCGCCATTATCAAACTTCCATCTCCATATATCTGGTTTTTCTGGTGCCATGGTTTGGATATCCATGATTGCTAGCCTATTTGAATCATTAAAAAGTTGTCTCAAAAGAACTTCATTCCAACTGTTGCCTTCCTCATCCAGCAACTCTCTAACCCAGATTGGGTTCACCCTGTCAGAGGCTAATAACACTGGGCTTGTCTGCTTAAGGTTAGGAACCCAACTTGAATTTGTAATTTTAGTGATTCTCCAATCTCTGATTTCTCTAACCAGGTCTTTTGCAAAGACAGGTATAACAGTAACCCTATTGTTCCAAAGCCATGAAGCAGATTGGCTTCTTTGCACCTAAAAAATAGAAGATTTGGGAAGTTGTTGCATTATTTGGAAATAAAGAAATATGATTCGAAATTGGTAAAAGGTTGGGTATGGGATGAATTGATTAATTTGAATTTGAATAGTTTCAAGGGAACTAATTCGTCGGTTTTTGTATTGACTACGACCCTCTTAGGTTTAAGTTTGTATGTTGTGTGTGTTGGCTTCATATATTGTTAATAAACTAGAAATATATTGTAATATAATGTTTATATGTTGTTAAACTATAAATATATTGTTCATAAAAATGTAAAAGATATGGTGTTAATAAAACGTGAAAGTTGTCTTTTTAAACCAGAAATATATTGTTAATAAGCTAAAAATAAACTAGAAATACGTATGATTGACCCGTCTCGTTTTTTTTCCTTATAAAATTTCACGTTCTCATTTTTTTCCTGTATATTTTTGTGTATATTTCCAGTAAAAAAAATATTTTTTTTATGGAAGACATGTTTTTCAATTAGTGAAAGGCATAAAAAGGGTGATAGAAGTTTCATTCTCTCTCTTAATCAAGGGCATAAAAAGGGGGATGGAAGTCAAAATAATATGGTAACTGATTAGGTAGAGATGTAATTATTTGTTTGTAGGTTGTATTTTTGCAATATTTTCATAATCTTGTAGGATAGATGAAAATTTCCCTAAATTATTTTTGATAGGTTTGGATTTTTTGGTTTAATTTGGTTAATGTTGAAAAATGTGATATGGTTAGTTGTTAGTGGATTTATTAAAATAATATTTGAAATAAAATTATTAAAGTTAATTTAATGTAAAAGTATGAGAG